AAGTTTCCAAGGAAGAAGAGACATTTAATGATCGAACATACTAACAGGGACTGTTTATTCCTAGAAGAAAAGCACATCGACAAAACAAAAAGTACTTCAGTTAAGTGATAACAGATCAGGCACCACATTTTGCAAGCTAATAACCTGTGGATAACAGAGGATTACTGCTAAAAATAACTAAATACCCCTTTCTATTATTACTGTCAAATAGATGACAGTATCTGGTGACAGTTTACCATTGGAATTACATGAGTAACCTAAGAAAATGCTCCTCTAGTCTGAAAATGGCACTTGCTGCCTACTCGTCAACCCAAAGCTCCAATTCCAAATGGTCTGCAGCCTGGAAATGAAAATATCAGACATGTATCATGAAAATATCATGGTATCACAAAAATACTGTGTGTGTGTATATATATATCATGATTTAGGATATATCATCATATTTTATATATATCAAATATATATAAGTAAGGTCAGCACTCAGCCTGCAAGCTTCCATTTGTCTTTAAGCAGAGGAACAGAAGAATAACTGAGTTGCTCTTATTTTTCTCAACTTTTGATACAATTAGCAGTTAAAATTGCTTTAGTCTAAACATAAGGTGCTATTCACGAACTGAGAGGAAAGAGGCATATTTACACTTGAACACACTACACTGCCATCAGTGAGGATGCATTCTGATTTGAACGGAGCTGTTTTAAGCTGAATCCTGCCCCAGCCAAGATGCTGGGCAAAGTCTCTCAAGCAGAAGGGGATCTCTGCCCTTGGACTGAGAGCAGGCCCATGAAAAAACTGATGATCTAGTGCCAGCTGTCTCCTGGTGTTATTGAATTTAGAAGCTGTGTTCATATCGAAATCATAAACTGTGTTTTATACACAATATGTATAGAGAAATAGATCACCACCAGGTGGCAGGTATTCCAACTTTAAGACTTTCAAATGCTTAAGATTCAAAAAAACCCTTACCTGTTGCCCGTATGTGTTAGAAAAGCAAACTGACATTCTTCCTGTATGACCCAGGATGTAGAGGATGGATGCTGCCACGCCCCCTGCCCCAGGTTGCAGCCTACTGATACTTTAAGAAGTACCGCGTTCCAAGCAGCTTTAATCCTCAGATGAATTCTTGTTGCATAGAAAAACATAATGCTTTATTTGGTTCATTAGGGACCTTCCTAGAGACAGAGTAAATACCTAATCCAACACTTGCTCATTTACACCGGTACTGTTCTGCAGGCTAAACTCTGCATCGGCTATGTAAATTCTCACCAATTTCAACCATGCTGGTTTAGGATAGTTAAATAAAATTGGTCTTCCAGAGTATTCATGGACAGAATGAAGGGCAGAAAATGAAAATACTGCCAAGGTATTTCAAGAGTGCTTAATTCACTCTACTGAAGCTACTCAATCCTTTCTGCAAGAAAGAAAAGCACCACGAGCCATTACCAAATGGTGGGTTTCTTTGTAAGCTGTTCAGCTAAGCTCAATACCACAATTTTGTGTATTTGTGCAATGTGTTAAATTGCAAATGTTCTGAGGCAGAAACCATTTCTCACTCCCCTCTGATTTGTAGAGGGTTTAGCATACTGGTACCCTGACAAAGTGCTTAACCAAATAATAAATGTCATCATCACAATAACTCAAGGTGCTTTATAGATAGTTTAATAAGCTTTGAGAAGCAAGTATTTCAGAAGGAACCAAGTAGGAGCTGGAGGACAACCATCAGGTGAATGGGCTCTTAATGAGTGTATTAGCTCCCAACAGTCCTCTAACACTTCATAGACCCCATGATACTGAAGGACTTTGGATAATATAATCTTAGGTTTAAAAATTATCTTTACTCTTTCACTCATCATCCCTTTGAAAATCCTGATTGCAGGTAGACCTGTTCCTAGTTGTTGTATTTTTTTTAAAGTCCAACATATTTGCATTACTTTTGTAAGCTTTGACATTACAATCTTTTAATTTTTCCCCGTTAATATGTGCCAAAAAAATATGGTGGAGTCACAGTCCCTGGAGGTGTTTAAGGAGAGGCTGGATGTGGCACTTAGTGCCGTGGTCTGGCTGATGTGGTGGTGTTGGGTCATAGGCTGGACTTGATGATCTCAGAGGTCTTTTGCAGCCTCAAGGATTCTGTGATTCTGTGACTCTGTAATACTGCTTCTCTAGGTTATCTTCTACGTGGACCAAGATCACTTGGAGCTGCTGATGCCAAGACCTACTCATATTACACTTTGTTCCCTATGTTTTATAAGATTTATTAGTACTCGCTTCAGTGTGCAACTGCAAAATACAAGCAATAAAATTTCCTCACATTTTACCAACGTATCTTCCTTTGAAAATTAAAACACAGAAGTTGTCACTGGACTGTAAGATTAGGCAAAGCATGTACAATGGACACGGTCTCACCTCAATCCATTATGTGATCTGTGCTACTCTATTCCAATTTCATTTAACATTTGGTTCAGATGTGTTGCAGATACTGAGAATTACATTTCATTAACTATATATTCTGCAAAACTGAACTATTATATGGCTGGTGATATCACAGCAATTTAAAAAATGCTAAAGATTTGCAAAATACCCACACCATGTCTGTTAAAATGTATTTGTTGCATTAGGCCCACAAATTAGCAAACTATCAAACTATGTGTTTTGAACATAAAATCAACACAATTAAAGAAACAAACCACTGCAATTTAATAGCAACAATCTCACTTTACAAGATAGTAATGATGGAAATTTTGAAAAGGAATCTGAAAAAGAACATAATGAAAAATGACAGATTTAAGACAACAGAAAGTTGAAAATCAAATAGCACAATAATTCTAGTATGTGGAAATTTTAACCAGAACGTTTACTCGAAACAGCATCCTGATTAATAAGTGACACTGTGTTACCAGCACATACTGACATCTGATAAACACTATTCCTTTAAAGTAGTATTTTTTCTGTTCAGTGACCTTGCACAGACTGACAATAAGTAACCCAGACCCCAGAGCTGGTTCACATGTGATCAGGAGCAAAATTCCTAAACATAAAAAGAAAGGACCTAGAATGTGTGTTATGAGTAAAACGTAACTTGCTGCCAATATGGTGATTTCAATACTCACTGCACACCACAAATATTATTTTAGATTTCTTTTATGACATATACCACTTCCAAACATGAATCAAAGCAAAACAGTGGTGATGTGGCTTTGTGGATGGAGAGAAGCACTAGCCTGGGAACTAGGAAATCAGGATTCAGTTACTGTCTCAAGCCCAGACTCCCAGGTAAGACATTCAGTAAGATGAAAATTACACTGGCCTCCTAAGAAAACCTTGCAATCTACCGAAAAAAAAAAAAAAAAAAGAGTAATTAATCTGAGTCAGGGCTTATTATTAAAAATTAAATAGGAACTCTGACACTTTCTCTAATCACTTTAGAGATTACATAATAATTAACTTTATTCAGCATGACTGCTGCTAATGCTGAGTAAAAATAATTGAATGAAAGATGATAAACTGAATGTATACAAAGGATTCCACAAGGGTGAAAGTCACAATACTTTCCCTTCTTTAAACCCAATTCATGAAGAAGTGAGAAGTGTGCAATAAGTCTGAGTACTGGTAGAAATCTCAAGAGTGAAAACCAGTTCCACAGGAAGTGTGACTCCATAGAGAATTTTGGTGATAGCAGGATTTCATTTCCAAAGTCTTCAGTGATACTTAAGCAAATAATTACATATTTATCAAGATAGGGAGGATGCTTTTCTGAAAAAAGGTCTAAAATTCAGTATTGACTGAAGTTCATGACTGCATAAGAAAATGTGTAAGTCACACAAGCATGAATACGCGGCAGCAAACGTGAAACCGAAGTATTTTTCTTATTAAATAATGTAAAATAATGTCATGATCACCAACAGAGGAAAAAATCCACAAAGGTTACTTTTTGCAGTTTATTTTCAATTATAGTTTTTGGATAACCAAGCAGCTCTGTATGGAGAAAGCACAGAAGAGTCACTCTGGCACTTTTGGATAGCACTTTTTTTTTCCCCCCCTCAAATTTTTCTAGACACATTCAGTCCACTTGCTCGGTCCATTGTCCATTTTATATGGGCATGATTTGCTCATATGGTTCCAGAGGAAACTAACAATATATACAGTCAATGAAACTATCTTCTTGGGTACTCTGGGCCCTTTAAAATGTCTTCTAAGTCTATCCTGGCTAAACAGAATCCACAATATACATGGTAGTTACAGAATATACCGTATTGAAATGAGAAATGCTCAGCACAAAATGGGACTCTTGGCATGCAGCTTAAAATAAAAGGTAGAAGTTCAGAAGTTTACAAAATCCCAGATGGGGTCAATTAAAAGGAGTTAGCAAAAGAAGGGACTGTTCATTGTTACTGTAAAAAAGGCACTTTGAGTAAATGGGATCAGAATTGGAGGAATCTTAGTCGACACAAAGTTCAGTTTGGTTTCATAAAAAGGCTTTAATGCTAACGGATGCTACTCAAGTTTCCTGCAGTTTTACATTAAAATAAATTGCTGAGTAGTTCATAATAAAGGACATAAAATGTTTACAACCAACTTGTAAAATTAAGAAAAGCATAGTATAAGCAAAATAGTACTAAAAGCAGCAATGCATAGCCTTTTATTGAGATAATGCACAATTTTGGACACCATGTGTCAAACTCTTGTTTTTAAGATACTTTCAGTAGCATTATCAACATAAAATTGGCCTACAAAACAAAAGCTTTACCAGCTCCCATTCATAAGGAGACTGAGGTCATAAACCAATCAAAACAATTTGTCAGTATTTTCAACATCCTGGATGACCAATATCAAGTATATGGAATAACAATCACACTCTTTGTTCAGCTATCTCATTGGAGGCAGCCATTAAAACAGAGGAATGATTTTAATTCTTTTCTAACATTTACACAGTAATGCATTTAGGTTCTTTCAAATGTTGCTCACCACAGTTTGTTTTTCTCTTTTCTCTCCACAACAAAAAAAAAAATCAAGCACTTCCACAGAAAGAATATTTGGCAATTTTATACTCCACTGAATGGTGGATTTTCACAATAGCTCACTTTAGATTGAAAGTCATTAGTGGTCTTTCCTCTCGTTTCTGCCAAGGACTCTTCTTATCTTCACCTTGGTCATCTTCCTCATCCTCCTCATCATCTTGAACTGATGTTCCGTGTTCAGGACTAGTTAATGGCTCTGGTTTCATATCCACAGTTCTCGTTTCCTCCTGCAGGCTGGGCAGCTGCACGCCACTTCTCTTACTAGTGCCTTCTAGCAGGCAGCGTAGAGCATTGTCCTCAGGGCTACAAACTGCTGTTCCACACTCGCTGCCACTTTGGTCCATATCATCCAAGTACACAAGCTGCGTGTAAGCTGTGCTATCGGAAACCTTCCGCTCTCTCTGCTGGTGTTCTTGCATGGGTGGGTGACTCTGCGGCACAGACAGATGATCTCCTCTTCCCTTTCGGGCCGATTTTGGTTCATTCATGTCAACACCAGAGTCCAAACTGGCGTCGTTACTCCCATTCCTACCAGCTCTTTGGAGATCGATGTATGAATGTCTAACATGAGCATTTGAACGCCCATCTAGAGAAACAAACCACGCTCGAGGGTGAGGCAACGGCTTTCCACCTCCTAGTTCCATCAAAGCCTTTTCTGTAAGAAGCTGCACTTCGCTGTTCATTTGAGCCAGGGAGGCATCGTTCAGTGAGGCAGGAATGGAAATAGATTCAGACATGGAAGCGTTTTGTTGACTCCACTCAGCTGCACCTGCATCTTGCAAATGTTGCTGAGATATTGCTTGGGACGCCAACTGTTGGGGTTGCAGCTGTTGTGGAGGGTGTGGAAAAAGCCGCGCGTGAGGATTAGGAAGCTCAGCCTGAAGTCTTTCTATATCAATCTGCTGGTCAGCCGGGACAACCAGGGGCTGGCTAACAAAAGGGTGTTCTCCTGGCAATTTCATGTAATGACCCGGGATGACCAACGCAGGCAGAACTTTTCTGTAAACACTGTCATTGACTTGGTCAACAGAATTGCAGCAGATCAACTGACCTGGTCGAGGGAAAGATGTAGGTCTTTCAAGGTGATCAACTGAACGAGACATCATACAATCACTAGGTCTGCAGTCAAGCAGCTCTTTTTCAGGGGCTGAAGGTGTGGGGTATATTTGTTCCTGAATATTGTATTTACTTCCAGTAGCAATATGGTTCATGGATACTTGACTTTCTCTCTCTTGCTTTTCAAATAAAGGCTGAGACAGCATAGCATTATAACTTCTCCTATATTCATCTTTGATAGGGGACTCATAGCCTTCAGCTGTTTCTGTAGATTTTCTTGTTTTTAAAGGAAAACTATCTGCTGATTTATGGTAATCTTTTCTTAGAGACCTGCTGGGAGTCAGGTCACCCAAGGAAATTCTGCTCTTGTCTTTCTCCTTGTCAGAGAGCAGTTCCTCTCGAGAGCTAAACTCCTGGGAAGTACTGAATGAGTGTTTGAGCATAGGTGTATGCATATCTGCTTCTCCACTGGGTGATACCATCTCCATGTGGACAGCACTGATTAATTCCTTTGCACCTGAGTTTTCAGGGTGTCCATTGCTAGCAACGGACAACCCGCCAGGAAATTCTGACTCGCGACGTGAAAATATTAAATTTATATGGGACATTGAGGTTGCTTGATCCTTCTTAGAAGTGTCCAGTGCTGTCGGAAGTTGCAGTTTCTTATGATGCTGACGTGGTCTTAAGCATTTCCTTCTATAAAAGTCGGTAACAAAAGAAGTTAACATTTGTGATAGCTGTACACCGAAACAAGAGCAGCAAGTGTGTCTTAATGGGAGATTTTTAAGCAGTTATTAGTATAAGGGGAGCTGAGCTTTTATTACATAACCTAACAACTAAAAGCTTATCCCATCAGTGAAGATAAAATTAAAGAATGATGTCAATTGGGAAATATCTCTAGCATCAATTACAAAATGGAGCAAATGCCTGGAGGAGGCGAATACAAAATCACTCATTAATACACACTTGCTGGTAAAAGTTCTACATTCATTTCAATATGAGACTAATAGAAAAATCACTTGCAAATGCATAACGGGTACAATGACCTATGCTCTCCTTGGTAGGAGGTTTTAGAACATCTTAGAAGGCAAACATAGGTAAGAGGTGTGTGTAATTCATTCAGCTACCATCCTACCAAAGGCAGGGATTGTATATGTATTGTATATTGTAACCAGGATCTTATGAAATTTAATCTCACTGCTTCTTTCTTCTTCAAGTGCTTGCTTGCTTGCTTTTTTTTTTGCCAAAGTAAAAATGCTTCTATATGAAAGCTTTTAATTTCATGAGCACAAAAAATGTTTATATTTCCAACATGAACTAAGTAACCAGGACGGTGAATCTTACCTGCAATAATACAAAAGCAGACACAGCAAGACTAGAAGTATGAGAGCCATCCCTCCTAAAATTGCCAAAAGAAACATTGTGTGATAGCTGGTAATGTCGTGTGTTACGACGGGACCTGGAAGGCCAGAAAAGAGAATTTAGACCTGTAACAACCTGCAAACAGGAAAAGGAACAACACTTAAAGAGAGCGACATCTTCCCCTGTTATCAGGAAGCTAAGTGAGCAACACTGCCACTCGTAGCCCTGGTGCCTACTGAGCAGACCATCTCTGGAGAATAGAGCAAGTTGTGGAGAAAGCATGTGCTGGTTTTCATGACTGCAAGTCCAGATAGATCCCTCTGTGGGAAAGCAGTTAGTTTCAAGGAGAGCATGCACCAGTGAATGCTGCCTTCGAGGTCCTGATGCTGACCCCGTGCACCAAAGCTCTCAACACCAGAGAAAAGCCATCACAGCATCTTCCAGCAGTGTAATGCATGTAGCAGCACTGCGCTCAACAGCTCCTCTTTCTTTTGTGGTGCTTCGCACTGAACAATACATACAGCACAGTACAGGCTTTGTTGAAAGATGTGTTGGTGCTCTGAAGTCTAGATCAAGCCAAGCCAAGCAGATCGTGAGTAGCTTTAAAAAACAGGCCACTAGTGAACAGTGTTGTAACTCCAGGTTTCAATAATGCTTAGTAAATGTTCTACTAACATACAAAGGAATGCACACATGTGGACAGCACCTGTGCACAATTATGCACATTTAACCCTGTTGGTTTGTAAAATCCTTATCACAACTCCAAAATAAAGGCCTAAATTTTCATCTGCAAGCAAGGAGGTACAGCACCAGCTGACAGAGTAACATGCACGTACTGTGAAGGACTGCAAACTTGGACAACATCAAGGTTTTAGATAATGAGGTTTGTAAAATGTCGTCTGTGGATCTTGAGTGGTCTGTAGAGCCACTGCTAGGAATACAAAGCTCATTTTTGTCCACTTTTGAGATAAGAAATCAAATAGATTCAATGAGGAAATAAAACAAGCAAGAACACATTAACTTCATTAAAAATAACATATTAAAAATAACATATTAAAAATAACATATTGCATTTAGGAAATCTAAATATTTATACATTCTGGCCTGCCACTACCTTTACATAATTGATTGATACTGTTGCTTCAGGACATTAAGGAAAAAGAGAAATAAAACACTTGAATTTTTCATGAAAATGTTGTTCCCATTGCAACAAGGTTTTAGGAAACCAGATCTAGCCCTCAGAAAGAAAGTAAAATACAAGCAGAAATTCTGCCATACAAGTGAAACTGCAAGAACAAATTAGCCTTCTCTTGTTTGAGTTACAAGCCTTCTAACCTGAGAGTTACAGGCACCATTTCAGGACTAGTGTCACTTTCTTGCAGTGTGGGATAGAGCTGTACTGGGAAATGTTTGGCTCACAACCATTGCATTTTCTTAAGGTAGAATTATTTTGTCAAATGCCATTAAATTCAGAATGATAGCTTATTCAGATTTGCACCTGCCTCCAAACTCTCTTCAGCAATGAAGGAGCTGAATATTCCAGCAGTTTCATTTAATATGACCTCACATAAAAAACTTGCATTATCATGAAACGACTTCAAGGTATATACTTCAAAGCAGACTTTAAAAACATTCTTCATGTTGGAGTTTCTTTTGTTGGTTAGATATAGTTTATTTAGCTTGCACAGCCAAGGCAAAAATGTTTTCGTTTCTACTGTATTTGGTTTTCAGCCAGAAAACCTCATAAAGAAAATCTGTAAGAGGAGGAGTTCTGTGTTTGATTGATAGGCTCTTTTATAGACTGAGCTAGCTCTGATTATTGGTGGCTGAAAAACTAATACTAAGAAATCTGAGGCAGCAACTGACAGAAAAAAGGAAGAGCAAGCCTTAACATTAATAATCTCCACAGGCACAGAAGTATACGTAATGCCTAGTTCTAAGTGATTTTCTGCAGTTATGCAAGAGGCTTGCAGATGGCACCCAGTCAGCTCATCTACAAACGCCACCCTGCTAATACACTTCCTAGAACTTCTACACTAACTTATTTGTGGTGTAAATTACTCAGTCACCAAGATGATGCAAAACATAAATCAGGACAAAATGGGCATCTTTAGCATAAAAGAAAATAAAAAAGTTACAATCAATGAACCCATGAGTAATTGTCTAACTCAGGATGAGGTTGGTCTTAGGTGAATCCATTTCTGTGGGAGTTTCTGTACAGAAACTTCACGGCACTTATTTTTCTACCTGCTGGAAAACCAATACACTGATATTATAACTCTCCTCATTTTCTAGCAATGGCTCTGCCAGGCAGTGGTGACATAAATGCATCAAAGCAGGAACACTTAAAAAAGTTTCCCATTGAAATGACTCAGATTTTGAGCATAAGGGTTGCCCCCCACAATCCCCATAGGATTTTAGCCCTTTACTTTCAGATTTCTGTTTTCTAATAATCCATTATTGATCAAGTTGTGGCATCTCAGATGAGGTCATTCTGAAAAATATAAACATTATATATGAATAAATAATTACTCAGTGCTGTGAACATCAACAAAATTCAATCTCGTCTTACCTGGGATAGTAGGTGACATAGCTGCAACCCAGTAGCCCAGCTGAGGTGCAATGTAAGTCCAAGTCAGCTGACTTCCCTCTTGTTGTACAATGCCCAAACTACTCTTCAGCCATGTCCCTGCAAATGTAAAGGTTGTAGGAAGGTGTTAAAAGTATACTCACACCTTGCTCTGCAAACAAGCAGAAAAGCAAGCTGTAGCAAAACTTATCAATGTGCCATAGGGGCTGCGTGCACTGCTGTGAAGTCAGAGATTGTGCCTTCTTGTCTCTGGCATTTGGGAGCTCCTGCAAGCAGTCACCCCCATGCCCTTCTCAGAAGCTTGGTACACAAAAAGCATTTAAGATTAAATAAAACTAGTAAGTTGCCAAAAAGTGTTAAAAGAAGATAATTATTGCCATATTAGATTCCCCTTTTTTGAAGAAGGACATTCCTGAAGCTGATCATATGCAGGCAGCCCACTTAAAAACTATTTCAAGAGACATCACATCTCTCAGACCACACCTGAGTTCTGCAGAGCACTTTTCCATCAGCTCTGGCTGCCAACTTCTAGAAGACTGAAGAAAATACCTCCTCAAAAGGTAGGTTTTCCTATACAGAAAACAAGCTTATGAATGTTACTGCCAAGAAATGGAGAATTAAGTTGCACCTTCGCTTTGATTTAGCAGCGTTAGTCATTCAGAATGCGTATACATCCAGGAATACTGTTTGGTAATGGATGATGAGTTTTTTAAAAAAGTGTTTCTCAGAGGCAATGTAATACATTTTTTAGAATTATCAAATGATCATTTCAAAATAAGTAAGACTGACAATTTTAAAGCAACGTGTTTAAGTTCACCTATCTCTTAAGTAGCCCAGACTGACAAGGTATGCTAGTTGAGAGCTGTTCTATCTTCAGAAGATAAATTTTGTTGCAAGACTCGGGCTATGAAAAACCCTTACAATTGAATCAGCAGTATTATTAAGACCCTGATTCTGGGGCTGCAGGAGAAAAATTTCACCTTAGATTCTGATATATTAAATATTCAGTACAGCTTGCAGACTGCTCCCATATATATCTCTTTGAAAGAAATACAGAATTGCTGGCCTGAACACTGGGAACAGTTGCTGGGAAGCCTCCCCAGCACCAAGCAGCGTTTCCTGATGCTGTAGCCCTGCCTCGGCATCTCTCGTGGCTGTTCAAACAGGGGGCATTAACTCTCTAAGGAGGTTGTCCCTACACTTGGGTGGCCACTACCAGTAGGGCTGATCTGTGCAGCAGAGAAGGGATTAAACCCCTCTGCATTTCTGTAGCACAGCTCTGTATTTTTGTGCAAAGCATGGGGACAGAATGCTGCCTTTCCCTTACTCAGCTTCAAATGCTCACTTTAAAGGCAAGCTGCATCTTGTGATTCCCTTTCCTTTAAATAGTCTCGGGCATGTAATTCCCAAAGCGGTGCTTTTCATCAGGCGTCACTCAGGACTAAGCACAAGCATTTGTGGATGACAGTCATCTGCATGCTTAGCAGTGAGCGCAGAACACACAGAAGAGATGCTGCCGTTGAGTTATTTTTAATACGGCTGAGATCTTCATAATTTCCTCTGTGTTCCTTAGTTTATCCATCTGTGCAAACCCTGTACATGTGAGAATGATTTTTCTGAGTATTTATTTCCTCTCTACTACTAATTTTTCCTATGTAAGCACACCCTTAAAGTCCATCATCTTTGGCTAATAATAAACCCATCTGAACATAGTGAAAGGTTTAGAAAAATACACATCTGAGAGGATTTCTAGATCTAAGCGACTATTACTGCCAGACAGCGACTCTATATTTGAAACCAAACTGGGCAACAAGCGAAAGGAATTATTGACGTAATCTTCAGTTTTCCAAGTATCATTTTCAGTCTGTACAGGGCAGCAACAACCTGACAAATAATTTTGATTCACAACACCAAAAGAACCAAAATCTGTGCACACAGATTTGCACTCATGGCATGCATAACTGTCCTACCAGAACACTCTGATATAGTCAGTAGTTCACCTCTTTTAGAGAAACATTACCAGGAAGAATAGAATTGAATTGTTCACAGTTATATGTGAAATTTCTGGAAAATCTGGAAAAAGTAGATTCATTTTCTCCACTAAGATGGCCACTGTCCCGTCAGATTTTCTACCCATATGCTTTTTGTGAAGACGTCATACTAATAGCCCTGAACCACAAGATGAAAAACAGACCACAGGGGCAAAACCTGCTTCTATCCTGCGTCTAAAATGTCATCTGGTAAGAAAATTTCTATAAGCTAACCTTGGTCATTTTTTTCTGCATTTTTTCTCACACAATGAGAATATGCACCAACTATTTAAATATGCAACTATGTGAAACAAAACTTTAAGACTAAAAGAAATATAAAAGCACTGTTTAAGAAAAAGAATGGAAGGACCTGGATGACGAATTCACCTTGCTTCCCATACTTTTCCTACTGTCTTAAATTCACACACAAGCAGAACACACACACGCAATTTAGCCAAGTTCATTATCTAGATGTAGTTACCTCCTTGAGCAGCAGCTATTATCGATTCCCTCACTAGGGGGAACTTGTGTCCAGCTCGCCTTGCTCACATTACACTGCATTCTAATGAACACAATCCTCCTAATGCCTCTTTAAAAGCCTTTTGCTCAGTAATACTCTGCTTGCATAATGCAGCGATCAAGCAGCTAACAGAGGCTCCACTCTTATCGCTGCGAGCAGAGCTCAGCTGCCATCCTGCCAAACAAGCAGCAGCTCAGATTGCTCATATTTTAGCATCGAGAGGAATCCCTGCCTTTGCAATGGAAGCAAACAATAGAGTCAACTGCACAAGGTCAGTCAATTTTCACGCTTGTCTTCCGCTCATTTAGGTCACCCGTTTTTGCTAACCACTGGATACACTCGAGGAAGTGTATTGGTCTGCGTAACACTTCGGAAAAATGCAATTCCCTTTCTCTGTTATGGACAGTTAAGAACTTCAAAACCGTAACAGGTACATCTGATATTGTTCTTCTTCAAGCAAAAGGGATGAAGCTTCTGTTGACCGTACCCTGCATATTAGTATGTGATGACAGATGGGAAATAATTGCTTTTTAAATGGCACTGTCCCAAGTTCCTTCATTAGGACAACAACAAGTGTGGGTTTCCGGGAACCATAGGTACATAAGCTCATCAGCTGCCTTTCTTTACACTTTTCTGGGCCAGAATTTTGGTGATAAACTCACCTCTTACAGTTCCACCATCTCATACCAATAGTTCACTAATAAAACCAAGCATCCTCCTGCATGGTAGCATGAAGCGGATAAAGAACTCAAAGATTCACAACAGCAGTAGCAAAACAGGTTTTGAGTGGCAACAGTTGAAACATAAAGTCCTGCATAGTGTCTCATGTGTTCGACTAGCCAAAGCCAACATAGTATCACTGAACGGAACTGATGTGTCTTCAGTATTCTGCCAATCCATCCCAGCATTTCCATGTCTTTTATCCCTCACAGGTTCTAATATGCTGGTCACTCTTCAGCTATCATTAAACACCAAGCAGTGTTCTTGTTTCACGCAATGCCTTGCTGTAACGACTGATGTCGAACCTTCTCATGAGCAAAACCCCACCACACTGTACTTACTGACTGTGCTCTGTTTCAGGCTGTCTTGAGCAAGCAGGAGCTTGTTGCTGTGTAGCCTTGAGAATGAACTCCCTATCCCATCCCACATTCTTCCTTGCAGCAGGAAACAAGATGTTTTCCTGTTCTAAAAATGCACTAATTGCTGTCTGTGTTCTCACATACTTGCTCTTGTGAGCAAGGGAGAAGACTGAGGGGCAGTGAGTAAAGAACTTCTTCCATTTTTCTATCCTGTCCTATCCACTAGCCTGCAAATGCAGTAAGGACAAGTTTCATTCATTTTCTACAGTGCAAGTAGGATTACAACTGCAGGAAAACTAAGCAGAAGGACTTAGTCGGGAAGAGAGGTCTTATCTCCCTGCACAGCTAAGTGTTACGATAACTTAATTCATTATTTTCCAAATATCCTGCAACATCTACTTCTCCCTTTTCCCCGGGTCAGCACGATGGACTAGCTTCACTGCTTATTAAGTTTTATATATGATGTGCAATAATTGTTAAGTAACAAGCAACAGAGGATTGTAAGTAAAAAGCAGTGCAAATAACTGGATGTAATGGAACTTAGAACTTTTGTTCAAGATTGATTATGTAGTTCCAAACAAAACATGTCAATGCACCTTTGGAGCAGAAACAGCAAGTTCAGTATAGTTTGTAAGCACTGCATGATTTGGGCCAATTTGCCATTAATTCTTAAAGAGTGTCTGGTGCTTCACAGCAAACTTATATATATAGAGACATTCTTGCTTAAAGATCATTTTTACATTTCTCTTCCTCTTTTTCCTCTATTACTGCTCAGTGGAGCCAACATGCTGATCCAGGATTCAAGTCAGGGGAGCTGTCTCCTGGCTTAAACTAATGGCAGGGGGAGAAACAAGTTTCTTAACTCTTTCCTCACCAAAATTATATTTAGCATTACTCACTTTTTGGAATAAATAGTGTCATTTAACAAACTGCTACTTAAAAAGCTTATAAAACAGCTACCCAGCACTCCTTTGTATATGCACTTAAAAGCAAGGTAAGAGAATTACCGTCACTAACCCTACAAAGAATATAAAAATGAGAGTACTTTAAAAGAAATACAAATCAAAACCACAGTCAGATAAAGATAGCTGAGCTCCATATGGTTGCAAAGATACCGAAATATCAGAGACAAGTTGAAGATTTCAGCAGAGCAGCAGCAATAAATTCTGCTTGAGAGAAACATCTTAATACTATGGAGTAACTTTGATTCTGATGAACATGCTTATCTCAGGCAGCTTTAGGACTTGCCAACAGAGGCAACAGGGTGTTACCATGAGTAAATTTAACATCACAAGGTTTGCACATTAAATCTCTGTTTCAACACATAGTCTGCACTAAAAATGCCTTTTTGTAATTTAATTTAGTTTACTTCTAAATTGGATTGAAAAATGACACTTTCAGCAAGGCGAAGGTCCAGATGGGCAGCTATTGCAGAAAAACCCTACTTACCTGCACAATCAGGTCACTGCA